AAGTAAAAACTGCCAATATAAACTCATCTGATAATAAAATAAATGAACTATAACAAACCTAACCTAACCTAACAGAAAATTTACAATTCGACAAAATTGAGTACCTATATCAGCCCTTAGGGTTAAATTAAACATTACTACCATACCTTYTATATTAATTTCACTGATGCTTTTTTGAAACTATACGATGATTACTTAAATGGTTTAAAGTGATTTACACTTAATTGCTATACTAAAGCAACTTCTAGGTCTAAAAGACTTTTTCAATCTGTTCAAATTGAAATTTCATTATTTTTTATGTCTAGTATAATCTAACATAATTTTTATTTATGCAATAAGTTACATTTTTAGTAAGTTTTTTTTTTAATAGCCTAAYTTAAAATCGAACACGTTAAAGACTTTGTAATACATTTRGTCTATACTWAAAAAACTTGGAAATCCGAGTAAAATATATACAACACCTAATTTTATTCATAGTAGTTTTTAACTTAGCGGACGTCAACAAATTTCCCAGGCATCACAGTACTTATCTTTAATGAATTAATATGAATATTCGGTACAATTATTCAACTTAAAACGTTAATAATAAAAAGTCGGGTAAGTGGATGTGTCGCTCTGCTGTACGGTAGTTCAAAAGAAGTGGGTTACCACTATAATGGGTGATATTAAATTTGAGCTCAATGATATAATATCATATTGTATACGATAAACGATTATGAGCGGATACGGTTTGTCAGTCTATGATATTTTAAACTACATTAATTATAGGTAATGTTATTTTTTTTAAATGTAGGTACCTATAAAATAAACTCAAAATTAATCAAATCACTAATCAGATTCATTATATACCATATACCCCACTCACTCAGTCATTAACAACATTATCTATAATGATTAGAATATAATATAAAAATATATATTTTTTTATAAAATTGAATACTCTGTAAACCAAGACATTCAACTCTCCGCTCAACATCAAGATATCATTTATACAAGTACAAAATATATATTTTTAAGCTAGTAAATTTTATAAAAAAAATCTAATTACAAAAACGTTATGTCAAAACGTTTGAGAATAGCAAATAAATAATATATATATATATATATATATATATTATATAACTGTGTGTGTGTGTATAATAATATGTACATACAGGATTAGTAATAAATCAGACATCCATTATTGGAATGTTACATAATACGTTGGATTTGTCGCACAATAATTTCAGTAGATATTAATAATATGTTTTAAGTATATTATATTGTTCAMTAGGTCAACGGGGTGGAAAAATAAACACAAAATGTCAAAATATAATAATAATAATAATAAAAATACACACATGAATGGAATGAAGAATGCTCAGTAGCGCGACGAGGACGTTAACGAATCGACTTGGCATTATCGCACTTATCTTCGATGGCGTCTATATCGTGTATTACCAGTGCTTGTGTGTGCACTGTTAACATGATAATGATATTGTAATATATAATGTAGACGTGTGCGTTTGGAGAGTGTCACTATCAAAACGACATAACAATGCACTATAACACGAACGCGGTATCTATATGGCGTACATCAAACAGTCGATATCTCAGTAGTCTAGACAGGTTGGCCGTTCTATATTATACAAATCCCGTTGTGATATAATAATAATTTATTGACTTTGGAAAATCTATACCTACATATTATATTATATTATATCCACTATATAAATTATAATATTCATACGTGCTTATGCACACATTACCTATAGGTATGTAATATAAAGGTATCTATGTTATATTGACGAGATGCTGTATTGATGCATACATTAATATTATTATAGAATCTAGGGTAAGTGGATAGGTAGATGGTTATACGATCGATASGAATAATTAATAATGCAACCACATGTTGAGTCCAGATAATCATATTTTTCATTTCGATTAAGATAAAAATAACAGAATAAAAATCTATTTGAATAAACATAAATGATTAACTGAACCTAAAAGATTAATCATATCGAAATAACAAGCCTATAGCCTATAACAAGATAATAAATA